GGGCTAGTGAGAATCTTTACATTTGAAAGAGAACTCATTTTGAAATGAGAGAACTGGAAAAATGTAAATTCCCAAATGCCTGTTACTGGCAGAACTTGGCAGAATACTGGCTTAATACTCTTCCAAGCCATCAAGACTTCAGTAAAAGTCATTTTTAGCATATCAAAAAAAAAAGATTTGACTCTTCTCTCACTAGACAGATTACTTCCTCCTTCTTGCTCCTCATTTTTAAAGAGTAGATTAGGTAGGAACAAAAACATTCCTTTTTGTCTGGTACCAAGGCTTGATTTCAGGTCCTTTGCAAGTACTCATGGCTGAGCTGTGCTTCCAGTTCAACGTTTTGCTGGTTAATTGGAGATGGACTCTTGAAGACTTCTGCAGTGCCAGCCACCACCACCCAGCCTGCTCATTCATTTCAAGGAAATTAAAATTTTCCGGGTTCTGGTTAATAAAGGCAACTGAAACAAAAACGTACAGAATACTGAAGATCATAATGCTGGTTACCAGGGGGGAAATCAAGGGTTTAATAAGGCTGAGGCAATTCATTTTCTAGCTTTCAAGTTTCTGTATGTAATTTAGAGTGAAATATGGGCTGATTTGGACCCATCTACAGCAACATATGTTTGCAGTTGGACATTTAGTTTTACTTTGCATGAAATTTGATGCCCTGATCTGCATGGGTATTTTTTAAAGTTTATTTTCTTATTTTACCACTTTTGTATCCTAATCTCTCCTGCAGTGGCTTTTCAAACCATCAAGAAAAGTGGTCATTCTTTAGCCCAAGCAAGAAACATGCCCTGTTACATCTTGCGACTTAAACTGTCAACAAAGCAGTAGTAGCTGTGCAGCTAATGGAATAAAAGGTTGTCATGAAAATAGTACATGGGCTGCTTTATAGAAAAACATACTATGAGAAACAGATATTCCAGATGCCATGTCATATGACATTTTAAAAAGCCATCCCAAGCAAAATCAGAAAATTTTTTTTTTTTGGAGGGTGAGGTCCGGTCATGGGGCCTGAACTCTGGGCCTGGACACTGTCCCTCAGCTCTTCAGCTCAAGGATAGCGCTCTACCACTTGAGCCACAGTGCCACTTCTGGCTTTTTTTCTTTTTGCTTATGTGGTGCTGAGGAATCGAACCCAGGGCCTCATGCATGCAAGGCAAGCGCTCTACCACTGAGCCACCTTCCCAGCCCAATCTTTTATTTAAAAAAAAAAAATCATTCAACAATGGTTCACAACTGCAAGAACTTAACCAGATTTATCTACCTACCAGATTTAAGGTATTTTTAAATGACTATTAAAATCAGTCTATAAGTTTTCATCCACTATCTAAAACTAACTCCTGAAGTAAGGCTAGTTTTCAAAAATCTTAACCTATGAACATTTTCCAAACATCCCGTTGACAGAAGGGGCTTCTTATGTTTTGAACCTTGCATGAAGAACCTTCACTCCCTACTTGTAGCCTAAAGTGCAAGTCCCTTTCATGAGCTGTTAGGACTAGGATTCTTCATGAAAACAAGCTTTGAAGGAATTGAGTCCTGTAATTTACTATCAATAAATACATATTAAGAAATGTTTGAACACTAATCTGAAAAACCAGAACTTTCAGTTGTTTGGCAAATCTAAAGCAAAAGAAGCCAAGTCTAAAAAGATTAACTTTGAAAGTCATGTTTAAATGCATACACATGTGGTTGTATAACAGACTTTGCCATCATTTTTATGTTCTCTTCTTTAAAAATAAATGAATTATCGATAAGGCACGATACCAACAAATTGTAGAAGTTACTCCAAGTTATAGGTAAGAGTGATGGAAAGAATTGGTGCAAAAGACATGTGAATTTGCACAATCTGTCAATGAACTGACAGAATAAATTCACAGTTCAACTTAAAAGCCAGGATTTTTTTTTAAGTTACAGTATCCTAATTTGAAATTCTGTACCTTATTTTGAAAAAGCTTCTTCAACGGGAGCACAAGACCCTACTTAAAACAGATGGTTACCTTCAACTTATCTATTTTCTTCAGTTTCTTGTTAGACAAAAATCAAGAGCAGTCTCTATGTCCACATAGTTTGATCATAAATATTTTTTTAGGGAAATGAAGCCATTAATGGAATACTGAAGTCATTAAAACAACGAGCTAGAACTGACTGTGGTTATAATAAGGAAAGACAATCAGTTTAAAAGAACCAAGTTACAAACTTGCAATTAAATTAAGCAGGACAGTGGTAGGAGCAACTAGAGAGATACACATACACGGTAACCCTTTAACGATGACACCAGAGCACAAGCATACTCCTCTGGACTAGAAAAATCAAGCACAGAGGCAGCCACATACGATCATGTGTGTATATATGATGATTGATATATGTATATCAAATATATGTATAGAAGTATACTTTATACTGTGTGTACTAATTTCTAAAATCATAAGCATAGATTCCTTTGAACATGTACAAAACTTTAAATCTTTAAAACACTTGATTGAACCACCACAGCATGTAGGAAACACTATGCATGAGTGGTTTATATCAAAGACCTTGGAGTCAGAATAAGAAGGCTCCTGGGCATGTCTCCTTTCTCTGCCCCTCCATTCAAGAATGAAGGAAAATACTGAGAATTATTTATTTCATCCATTATCTTTTTGCTTTTCACAAGTCATGAATCTTAACATTTTATTTTCATTAAACCTCACAGTCTTGTGTGCCAGACAAGCACATAGACCAAGACTCCATTTAAATGTACACTGAATTCTAATTATTGGTATAAACATAAGAGAATGTATAGAAATTATTAAGTATACTTTCTTAACAAAAGTCTTTATTGGTAAAGGTCATAAAAAATTGAATTTTTATCTCCAACTGACTCCAAAATCAAAAGATGCCATAGCAAAAACCACTTTCTACCTTTACTATCTTTTCAGGAACTGCTGAGTCCAAAGTCTTGGGAGCATCTCAATGTTTGAGGCTAAGGGAAATGAAAACATATACTGATCCAACTAAACAGCAAACAGTATTAAGAGCATAAGCCATGAAAACACAATCTTTTCACTAGTGAAATTTAGGAATTTAAAATACCAAATCCACAGCACTCGGTTCTTTCCAGATTAAAGACCTCAGTGCCTTGTATACTTCCAGAAATGAACTAGTAGCCAGTATTTGCTGAATAAGCTAGTAATAATACAAAGCAAAAAGCTATTTAAATAACAGCTATAGTCAAAAAGAAACAAATGGATTTACTGCGAGCACTGTGGGCTGTGGATCACGTTCTGTGCTGTGCTGAGGCAGACACGGAGGCGTGACCACGGCTCTGTTCTCTTTCACTCTACATTTCATGACATCAGACTGTAGATCCAATCAGCCACAGTGCGAGTAGTCACATCGCATGTATCAGAAAGCACCAGAAATCAGGCTTTCTTCAAGGAACGGACTGGGAAAAATTTACCAGTCAACATTGGATTAGTGTTCATTTGCTCAAATACCACCACAAAGATTCTTAACTAATGACCAGTGTCTAATAACTGAGCAAAGATTAACTAATGCAGATGAGTTCAATGTAACAGTATAATCAACTTGTAAAAGTTATAAAACTTGTCAAGGGCATCACATCTCAATGAAGGTGAAATATGTCACCTAAGAGAAGCCACTGATCCTTCAGATGGCTTCATTTTCAATCATGCTTCACTGCTTACCCTGACATTTAAACAAAACTCCAGAGAATACAGCCTATGCTGATTTCATTATGAAAGAAAACCATAACTAAAAATGGAATAATTTAAATATTTTAAATATACAGGACACCAAGCAATTTGCTTTTTCCTTTTTTTGTTGGCTGTGGGGCTTGAACTCAGGGTCTAGGCACTGTCCCTGGGCTTTTGTGTTCAAGGCTTTGAGCCACAGCTCCACTTTTGGTTTTTGGGTGGTTAATTGGAGGTAAGTATCCTGGAATTTCCTGTCCAGGCTGGTTTTGAACCACAAAGATCCTCAGCTCTCTCAGCTCTGAGTGGCTAGGATTACAGGCAGGAGCCACCAGTGCCAGGCCTTTTTATTTATTTATTTTTTTTGGGGGGGAGGTCTTAGGACTTGAACTCAGCCTGGGCTCTGTCTCTAAACTTCTTTGCTCAAGGTTAGCACAATACCACTTGAGCCACACTGCCACTTCCAGCTTCTACTAAGTAGTTTACTAGAGGATAAAGAGTCTAGTCAGACTTTGAACAGTGGTCCTCAGATCTCAACCTCCTGAGTAGCTAGGATGACAGGCATGAGCCATTGACGCCCAGCTTCAAGCATTTTCTTTACATAGCACTTTTAATCCAACAGTACGTTGAGGTACTTTTTACTACTTCCTTAACTTCTATACACTTTGTAGAACTTCTTTAAAGACTGTATGAAACAATAAGGAGCCTAGTATATCACACCCATGTACCTCTACTATTATTATTCTGAAATATTAATGTAAAGAAGGCTGAGAATCTGAGTTTCTCCAAGCAAACAAAAAACTTAGAGATTAGGAAGTAGTAATGTTTACACACAGGTAATTACTATTCCTGAAACATGCACATTTAAAAGACAGTTTTCTCCAGTATGGTCTGAGGACTTCTGAAGAGCTTAAGGTTAAGGTCAAAAGTATTTTCACAGTAATTCTAAGATGTCACATGCCCTTTTCACACTCAATTTCACAGAGCAACATTTGGTTTTCCAGTGCTTTCATGCTGTGTAACATGGAAAGAATGCAGCATATGAAAATCTCTATGAAGTCAGATATTTAAAAAAAGAGGTATAAATTATAAACAATGATCCTGTAGTCCTGTAGTATTCCTTAGTTTTCATGGTTTTTTTTTTTTATTTTGGGGGAGGTACTCAAGTTTGAACTCAGGGACTCATATTTGCTGGTCTCATATTTGCTGTTGAGCCATGAAAAATATTTCTCATTAAAATGTTTCTATGTTAATAAGTAATGGATAATGGTCACATATAAATGAATAAACATACTTCAAAAATATGTCAGTATTGGCCTTTAATGCAATAAATTCCAAAAAGATACAAGTTTCATTAAAAATAAAAGTAAAAACGCTTTTTGGGGATCTTCAGTAGTTTTCAAGAGCTATTGTTCTAAGACCAGAACGTTTGAGAGCGATGGTGCGGTGATACACAATCAGCCAGTGTACCCTTCCTGGCCAACTTTGAGGCACTATACCAAACAGGGTATGTTTTGGCGCAGGGTCCTCCCAAGTAAAGACTAAAAATGCCTTTCCAAATTGATGTAAGTTTTTTTAAAAAATGAAATTGGTAACTTCTATTTTTACAAAAAATGGAGCTACTCTATGTTAGCAAACAAGAATGGATTATGCCTTTAAAATCAAACAAGTATTCCCCACACTAAAAGATAAATTTCTTTCCTGAACAAATACGGAACAGGAAGGATGATTCAACCAGTATGCCAGGAAATCTGAAGGTCCTCAGACTTGTCACTTTCAAGAATTTTCTTTTCAGTACTTAACACAATGATGGTTTATATAAAACTAGAAGCCATTGTGATTATAAAAAGTCTATGACAAGCTCATTAAAAAATAACAATAAACAGCACAGATCCTGAGAAAACCTATTTTAAAGGTGATCTCTTCTGAATCTAAACATCTTGACTCACAAGCACTCAGAGTCAATAAAAGTTTCCCATTTAAATACAAATTGTAAAATTTACCAGAAAAAAATAGTCTTTAAAATTATTTGAATAACAACTGTTTAATTCACTCATTATATGGAAAAACCTGGTAGGGTATTTGGGTAATGACCTTCAATTATAGCATATAACTTTGTACATATAAATGAATTTGGACCCAATACAATTTAAAACAGAAATTAAAAAACAATTCTTAAGTCCACCCCCCCCCACACACACCCTGCACCCCCGGTGAAAAAAACGGGCTTCAGAGCCTCCCCAAAATATAGAAGCATTTCAAGACTATATCAATACACATCTAGACCTGTGCAGCAATTATTTAATTCTAAGATGCATACTGTTCAGAACAGGAATGGAGAACATCAAAGCATCTTTTCTTTACTACAACAGTTCAGATAAATTGTACTTTCAACTGGATGTGCAGTGGAGAGCAAGGCTTTAACAAGTCCCAAACTATACAGATTGTAAAAAACTACAGCTCATGTAGTCATTATTAAAGGTGTCAACATGAATAACATGAGCAAACTGATAATCACCTGTTTTAGTGCTAAAGCTTTTAAAAACTTTTAATCACCTTAAGAGAAAACTTTTCATACATGTATTACATATTTGTGTATGAAATTTCACCTTTCCTGGATGACACAGAGTCATCAAAATAGACAATTACCAGAAGATGACACACTATAGTACAGTATGGTAGGTTGGGCTGTGTCCTTATTCTACATGGTCTTGGATAGTGTTTGTCTTCATAGTCTTTCAGTCTCCTTCTTTAAATTAAGCTATCACTTCTCAACCACTAGCAGGCTACAGAACAAGAAATCAAACCGTCAAAATTTAAAACTTCACATAAAAACAATGCATAAGCTCTAACATATACTTTACGAGTTATATGTGCTGCTCAGAGGCATTAAAAAAATATTCCAAGTTTCTTAGTTGTGTCCCATTTTAATGAGACCGCCAGATTATCTCTAGATGAACGAGGCATTATGATATATAAATATTTAAACAATTCACTAGAATATTAACAAAAAATAACTAAACTTAGTATCACTGCCTTTTTAAACAAAGTATTTCATAACTTTAAGGTAACATTGAGTTCCAGTTTCTTTCCCCCAAACAACAAACATAAACAATATCCTACAGATAATATCAGTTTGTTCAGGAAAAGGTGAGGGGGGGAAGGAGAAAACAACTCAGGTGCAATCATGTCACAGTTAATGCATGTCTGCTTCCAATACATTCAAAGACAATTAAAATTTAAAAATCAATAGTTAAAATAGGCCTTTTGCAGTCTGAGAATTCAAGATATTAAAAAAATTCGTAAATACATACATGCAAATTCTTCATATATACAAATTTCACAAAATTAAGGATTGCAAAGAAATTAGAAGTATTAATGGTGAATCTGACAAGCTACATTTAAATGCTTTACCACGGACACAATCCTGAACAGAGCAGTCCTCGTAGTTTCAGTATTTTTTCTACATGGCCTTTTTTATAAAAAGTTAGTCACTAGAAGTCTTTAAGAATTCAGGATGTTCTCAATTCACTACTCAGACTTAAGGCCACTTTGGTAAAGGCATTGCAGCAAGAACACAGAAACAATAGCATATTTTCTAATATTTATTTTTTTCACCTGCAAACTGTAGCAAAACATGATCAGTTTTATTATGCAGACAGGTATCCCTCTACATTTTTAAAGAATTTAGGCATGTATAAATAGAAGAGCTCTTTAGAAAGGAAAAATTCAAGATGAATAAAACCTTCCAATATTGACTTTTAACTTTCCAGTAGCAATGGTTAAAATGATTTTAGGTCACTCATTCCAAGATATATGACAGCACCTTAAAAGTGGCTGATCTATTTCCCCAGTAACATTTCTCACATAACGATGTGTTAAAGTTACAAATACTGATATGCACAAATAGCTAATTTCTAAGAAAAATATGTACAGTACTGCAGCATAATGAACGTGGTATCTGCAATAACTTAGTATTAGCCAATTTTGAATATACATGATACCGCTACCTCTTCTGCCAATTCACAGGTTAAAAGTTGTTACCGGAGCCCTCTGTTTTGCACATATTACCTGGTGTTTAATACATAATGCAGGTTTTCAAAAGACTTCTCTTGTATTTAAAGCTAAGATCAGTGAAACAAGACAACAGTGCAAGAGGCGGAGAGATGTAATGTGACCACATAAAAGTTCGTTCCAGTAAAGTGTCTAATAAGGCTATAAGAAAGGATTGGTTGATGAGCTTCCTGTTGGAAATTGTCCTGTTGGTGCACCAGTCTAAAGAAAACATAAGACAAAATAAACGTAAGAGTGGTGTATGCAAAGAATGAAAAGATTGAACTATATTTCTTATTTAATTAAATTTGAGTTATGAAGTATTTTATTCATTGTTATTGTCAATAACCCATGAGACCAGTATCAGGTGTCAAGGAGTATACTATGTCTTTCTAATGCATTCCTTCATATATGTTCTTGTAAGAGATCCCAAGAAGAAACTTGGCATGTGAAAAGAAAGACTTGTGTGTGATTCAAACAAAATTTCTGCTCTAAGAGTCCCTTATAATCTTGGGTCTATCTTATGGCCTCGCTTAAAGTGTTATTTTGAACAAAATAACACTCTATGAAATAGTTTATTTACTGTGGGTAAGTGCTCGGCTATGCAACTAATTGTTTAACAGTCTGATAAGAAGCATGCATAACTAGCTGTCTCAATTTACATCATCTTACAAGGCCAATTCCAGGACACCACACCTGGTAAAGACAAACCAACTTATCAAGTCCATAATACTCAATATCTTACCATAAAAGGATTACTAGATACTCCAGCAGCTGCAACTTGACCAAAAGAAGTTACCACTGGCTTTGTTTGTCCAAATGCTGCAAAACCTGCACCTTACGAAAAGAGAACCACCAATTATAACTCATGCCATTTTTAAGAGGCCATGTCACTGATGTTTATAAAGTCTGAAAATAAGTTTCAGAAAAATTCTTACCAGAGTGGTAAAAATGTCAAGGTCATGCTTCCAGGTTTCATCTTTCCAATATGAGAGATGAACCTCAGAAAAACTTCTTATGGTATGTTTTTAAAGAGCTCTTGGAGATCTTAATAAATGGTTAACTCGAACTTGTCTCCGTGCAAACCATGACATCAAAGGATTTAGTTAACTGATGAGCTTGTGACTATTTGGGCAGGTATACGTGGACAAGGTGATGTTTCTGTGACAAGCACAGTATTTCTAGGAAATATTTGATTATTTATGGCTCTTCCATGCATCACAGCTCCAAGTTTTTTTTAAATTTAATTTAATTTTATTTGTGAACATACTGTACAGAGGGGTTACAATTACATGGGCAGGATAATGCGTACATCACAGCTCCAAGTTTTATCTAACCACTGATTTCAAAAATAATAACATGTGCCGGGTACCAGTGGCTCAAGCTTGAAATCCTAGCTACTTGGGAGGTTTCCAGTCCAGGCAGGAAAGTCCCTGAGACTCTTATCTCCAATAACTACTCAGAAAAAGCTGGAAGTAGTGCTGTGGCTCAAGCGGTACAGCAGTAGCCTTTGGCACAGACATCCCAGGTCCTGAGTTCAAGCCCCAGGACCAGCAAAAAAGGAAAGGAAGGAAGGAAAGAAGCAGGGGAAGGGAGGAAGGGAAGGAGGGAGCAGGCAAGAAAGCAAGCCCACAATTCAAATCTTGAAATCTAAGATTTTTCAAACTTCAGCAAGTGAGAGAAATGGCTCAAAAGAAATGGTTGCATCAGCCGGATGCCAGTGGCTCATGAATGTAATCCTAGCTACTCAGGAGGTTGAGATCTGAGGATCACGGTTCAAAGCCAGCCCAGGCAGGAATATCCGTCAGACTCTTGTCTCCAATTAACCTTCAATTAATTGCCAAGTGGTACTGTGACTCAAGTGGTGAGAGTGCTAGTCGTGGGCTGAAGAGCTATGCCCAAGCCCAGAGTTCAAGCCCCATGACCAACAAAAAGAAAGAAATGGTTGCATCTGTCTTCTTGGTTCTTCTGAAAACAAACTTAACTTCTATACAGCTAGCTATTAAGAAAAGTAACCTCAATTCACGCACATATATACACCCTCTTTCTCTCTCTCATACAAGAAAAAAGTATACTGACAATCATTTTTGACTTAGAGAAAAAAAAACCAAAAACAGTATTCTCCACCTTATAAAGTTGCCTTTCTAAATCAAGGAGCCTTATGACACATGTAAGAACTTATAAGAACTTATAAAACCACAATTTTTTTCCTTTTATGGCCAGAGATGTCGAGTATTTCTTCATGTATCTACTAGCCATTCTTATTTCCGCTTCAGAAAAGTCTTTAAGACTTTAGCCCACTTGTTAATCAGATGGTTGTTTCTTAAGAGGATTTGTTTTTTGGGGATTTAATGTTTTGAGTTCTAAGTATATTTTAGATATGGGGCCCTTGTCTGTTGTACGGCTAATGAAAATCTCTCCATCTGTGGGCTTTCTATTTATCTTGCTAGCTATATCCTTTGACATGCAGAAGCTCTGCCATTTAATGTAATCCCATTCATCCAATCTTTCTTTGATTTGTTGTGTTTCTGGGTCTTAATTCAGAAAGTTTCAAACTGTGTGAAAGAGCCCTAGTGTTTCTCCTATTACTTCCCATAATATTTTCAGGGTATCTCCTTTAAATTAAAACAACATTGACATTCTACCTTACCCCAGTTAGAATGGCCATTATCAAGAAATCTAATAACAACAAATGCTGGAGGGGATGTAGCCAAAAGGAAATGCTACTACACTGTTGGTGTGAGTGTAAAATTGTTCAAACAATACAGAGGTTCCTCAAAAGACTAAACATAGAGCTACCCTATGATCCAGCAATCTCACTCCTGAGAATTTACCCAAATGACCAAAAACAAAGCCGCACTAAAGATATCAGTACAACCATGTTCACTGCAGCATTATTCTCCATAGCTAAGATATGTTCACTGCAGCATTATTCTCCATAGCTAAGATATGCCCCTCAATAGATGAATCGATCAAGAAGATGTGGTATATGTACACAATGGAGTTTTGGGTCTTCGTCAGAGAGAATGACATTACCCCATTCATAAGGAAATGGAAAGATCTGAAAAAATCATACTAAATGAAGCAAGCCAGGCCTAAAGAAATAGAGTTTGCATGGTTTTCCTCATTTATAATAATTAGAATATGTCTATAATATTCTTAGTAGGAGATCACAATGGCCCAATTGTTAAGTGCATACGACCATATATAATGAAGTGTATCAAAATGAACTCCAAGAATTGGAAACAAAAGGTCCTTTATGCAGTTATTTCTATTTTCTTCTGTACCCTTTGTCATGTATGTAAGCTTAATCTATAAAGGGAAAAGGAATCACAGAAACAGCAGGACAAAGGAAGAACTAAGGTAACAATGATACTAGACACTATGTTGGAAATTAACTTTACAACTTGGGGGAGGGGTGTGGGGAATGGAAAGCAGGAGAAAATGAAGAAGGGGATAACAGTGTTTAAAAAGAAATATATTCATTACCTTACTTATGTAACTGTAAACCTCCTCCCTCCCCCCACCCAGTTCATCACCTTTATAGTAATACAAAAAAAAAAACCCACAATTTTCTGAGACCTGAATCACTGTACTTTTGTGCAGGAAACACTCTTTACATTAACACTATAGCATTCCTTAGACGTTTTTGTCCCAGGTAACATATTTATATGTAAAGAGTATCATAGGATTTATAGCTCACCAAGCATAATATCTTACCATTGGGCTGTTGAGAAAAAGCTGTCTGCTGAGTGAAAGCTGCTTGAGCTGGGAAGGCAGGCTGCTGGAAACTGCCACTGAAGCTGGTGGGAAGACTATAGGGAGCAGGAGTACCAAACCCTGCAGGCATGCTCATAGATGCAGTGCCAAAGGTTGCCGCTGATAGAAAAGAAGGGTGGATGAGATACATACAAAAAGGTATAGTTTGTTGCTTATACCCAACACTGTGGAATAGACATAACTTACTTTGAAACATATGTACATTAAAGGTATCTGAAATTTCAAAATCCCACCAATGTTCCTAGTGATAAACTTTAGCAGTAATTTAACATAATCTAGGATATTCTGGTTCTCCTAAAATGCAACGACCAGAATAAATGTGTCATCTGAAATCATAAGAAATTTCTCAACAGTAATTAGTAGTAGTCAGCTTTTAAACGTGCATCACAGTAAAAATATGAAAACAGTGCAATTCATATGTACATTAGTATACATCTATGTGTTTTAAGTTTGTTTCAATATATATAATAGCTAAAATTTTCAGGAAATTTTTCTCGCTAGAGTTGTCTACTATAACATTATTTCTTGAAAAATATTAAAACTTCTGAAAAATATTCACCCAGAATCATGAGATTCACAGGACAAACAGGTTAAAGGCAGATTACTCAAATCTTTTTATAATTAGAGCCAAATAAACACTAATACAACTGAAAAGATATATTAAGTTCCTATTAAATCAATCTCCAAAGAAGTATATGGACTCCTACTCTTTGCTGAAAGATAAACAGTAACAGCAACAACATCAAAATAGACAGCTTGGAAGACTAGGGCCTCAAAGATTACTACAAAGATTGAAAAAGAAGCATGATACACATTTGTAAAAGAAAAAAATGGAGTGGAGAGTAAATAGATGTTGTATTCAATATTACAATACTCCCTTCTGGCTTGCCCTATCTAGCACTAGCACTAACATGTTGAGGGAGAGCCATCAATGTCTATGTGGTATTGATACATAGTACTGTTTTCCCTACTTCTCTGTAATCATTTATGATTATGCATTACAGAAACACATGTAGTAGCAGAAGAGTGGTAAATATTCCTTTCAGCTATCTGCTCTACTTGGGTACTTAGTGAAATAAGAGAAAAAACTGTTGTTTTACCTAGACTGCTAGTAATTATTAGTGAAACATTGTGAACATGATTGTATAAAAAAGTATAAAAATGTGCTCAATTTCCTGATCTTAAAATCTACTAACTTCATTCTGAATTAAAGGCACAAGAACTAAAACTAAGCACTGAAAAATCTTTCAAAATACCATGTTTCTTTAAGAAACTAAACACAAATTATATGTTATCCAAAGTAATCCTTACAGTGCTAATGTTCACAAAAAATACAATTTTGCTCTATGAATCTAATAGACTATTAAACTTAAAAAGTAACTTTTTTTTTACTAATGAGTGGGGAAAAAAAGGAATAACAGGCCACTGGAAAGCAAGTGAACTAAAGAATAATAAGCACATGGCAAAGGCACAGGAAGATTTCATAACAGACATAATGCACTGACATAACTTTGACATATCACTGATCAAGAAAGCACTAAAAGAGCAAATCTTGAATACAGTTAAGCGAAACCAAACTCCATGGTATAATATGACAAAATGGTTTGTAGCTCAAAAGGATATCAGAGTACTATGAATTCAAACTTAAGAATTAAAACAGCTATCATTAACATTCTATTGTGACCATGGAGGTAAGCATTAAAACATTGCTATAAAAGATTTTTGGGTAACGTCAAGTACAACATAATCTTGATGCTACACATCCATGCCCACTCCATTTTAAAATATGGAAACAACTTAATTCCACATGCAAGAATCCAGAACACTAGCAGAAGCTTCCACAAGCGGGTAGACAAATTGCCACACAAATCTAGGTATTAGTTGTGGCCACCTACCAAAATGAGCGTGAGGAAACACTTGAGAATGCATTGCTCCAGAAAGGCCTTATGGAAAGGCATAAAAAGACCAATGTCAATTAAGTTACAAATAACTATCATTAAAATCCAAGAAAATAATGTTTAGAGTTAAAAATTAAAATGCACTATAGCCAACTGGCTGGCATAATACATAATAAAACATTCACAAAGTGAGTCTTTTATTGCAACTATATTCATAACATTTTTATACCACATGAAATAGAAGTATTTAGAATTACAAATTCCAAATAAACACTAGTATAATCTATTTTTTAAAAATAAGCACTAGTATTTTTTTTCATGCAAAGACACAATTATCCATAAAAACAAGGCTTTGAAAGCATCACTAGATGCATCTAAAAATGCTGCTTAGTATCTACAACTCCAGGTTTTGGGCAGAGCAACTGAACAGTGTCAGATTGTTTTATTTAAAATTCAACACAGCTAGAAATACATAAAGATAACCCGAATGAACTTCAAGTATCCCCAGGGAGAATTATAAATACAGTTCATTCAAAAAGTGGGTGGGGACACTTTCAGCTTAAAATACAAAAGGCTAAAAGAAGATAGCGTATATTCTGTGCAGATCTTATATGGCATGATTGAGGACAGAGATGCTATATATTAAGTTTGTGTAACTGATAGCTAATTTCTAAAGTCCCTCTCAATTTTGTTAAATGGCAAAATGTATTAGCTTTCAGGCAGCATTTGTTTAAATTTGACTCATTCTCATAAAACCCCTCATATCACACAATCTTCCTGCCTCTGCGTACTGGGATGACAGGAGTATGTCATGAGGCCTGGGGAGCATCTGATTTTACAGATAAACTCTGTAAACTTCCCATTGACTTTAGTAAAGGGTCCCCTTTCCTAGGGTTCTTTAAGGTGTGTCTCACCCCAAATTCCTTCCCCAATGCTCACTATTCCATAATCCATCTTTTTTCCTTACCTGTTGCTCCTCTGGCATTGGTCTGAAATGGATTTGTAGAAGATGCCACAGAAGGACCAGCAGCAGCAACAAATGGGTTTGTGGAAGGCGTAGCTTTAAAAAATTATAAAATATACTATAAAATCCTAACATATTTTACATTCAAGACAAAATTTATCTATGTGTATGAAGATAGAAAATGAGAGCCTTTCAATAAACCACTGCTTTGACTGCCTTCCAGTTCTATCTATCTATCTATCTATCTATCTATCTATCTATCTATCTATCTATCTATCTATCCACACACACACAGGTTCTGTATACAATGCAGTGGATATACCAGAAGCACATACCCCCCAAATGGAGCAGGCACACTTGAAGAAGCAGGTTGTGTCTGTGCTTTGATTGCCTTCTAGTACTAACACACACACACACACACAGGTTCTCTATACAAGGCAGTGGATATACCAGAAGCACATACCCCCAAATGGAGCAGGCACACTTGAAGAAGCAGGTTGTGTCTGTGCTTTGATTGCCTTCTAGTACACACACACACACACACACACACACACACACACACACACACACACACACACACACACACACACACACACACACAGGTTCTCTATACAAGGCAGTGGATATACCAGAAGCACATACCCCCAAATGGAGCAGGCACACTTGAAGAAGCAGGCTGTGTCTGTGCAGAAGCACCCACTGGCACTGTTCCAAAAACACTGCTGCAAACAAAGAATGAAAGAGTCCTGTACCGCTTCAGTTTCACAGTAAATCTCAACATATGTTTACATCTTGAAAACTTCCTGAGACTCCAGTAAGAGGTAAACTGTTTACAGGTACTATATTTTTCAATTTGTACCAAACAGAACATTCAAGTTGAAACTTTTCAAAAACATATTCTTCAGATTGGGTTTGATCCTGTCACCACAAAAATTTATTTCCTCAGATTTAAATAATAAAGGCATATTTTCTTCAAAACAAAAGGAATTTAAAGAGTAACACTTTTATGTTTTCATAAATCCATTAGTGGATTACTTATAGAAGATCAGTATGTTACAATGTTTTGAAGTATATGAAGACCATGCAATTTTGCATAGATATATATAACTGAACAAACAAAAGCAGTATTTTAGTAGTCTTCAGATAATTGAGACTATTTTCTTTGGTATCATATCAAAAGCAACAGTGACAGATTCCTAAAGGTTAAGTGAACTTTTAAAGCACTCTCCAAGAACGTTTAGTGCTCTGTTACAGTAGACTGCTCAAAGCCAGGTGCTAGTGGCTCATATTTGTAGTCCTCAGGAAGCTGAGATCTGAGGACTGTGGTTCAAAACCAGTCTGGGCAGGAAAGTCTACTAGATTCTTATCTCCAATTAACCACCAAACAAGCCAAAAGTGGAGCTGAACCTTAAGTGGTAGAGCTCTAGCCTTAAGCAAAAAAGCTCAGGGACTGTGTCCAGCTTGTGAGTACAAGCGCAAGGATCAGCACCAAAAAACCTTCACAACAACCGTATACTTCAAACAAATCTTTAACTGACCTTAAAACTTGTATAGGTCATACAGAAAATATTTTTCACTAAGCTATGACAATATTCCAAATGCTGACTGCATTTCTCATGCAAAATTTAAAATCAGAGTCATTAATAGCAGCAACCATCCATCAATGAAAAACTAGTGGGAAGCTGTCAAACTCAGTGGACTCTATAAATTTTCCAAAGTCCAAATATTTGCTTGATAGTATGAATTTTATCAAGTGTATGCTTTAAAGTGACTGGCCTAGTTTCTATTTTATAAATAACAAATTCTCAAATCTGAATGAATAGCCAGTTAATCTACCAATCAAGAAATAGTGTCCATAAAGTAAGTCGCTAGTTCATCTTACAACTCAAACAAATAGATGGGTAGTTTCTTTTAAGACAATCACATGTGAAATTATTAGAAAAATTTGCCATACATCTTATTTCAGCACATAAAATTAAGAAGACATATTTAAGGTAAAGATTTCAAAAAGTTAAAAAAAAGACTGTTTCAAGAATATCCCTAAGAAAAATTGATCAAGAATATTCATAAGATGGGTGTAGGTAGCTCACATCTGTCATACTAGGCTGAGATTTGGAAAATTGAGGCTTGAAGCCAGCCTGGGCAGAAATGTCTGAGATTCAAACTCCAATTAACCAGCATAATGTCAGACTGGAAGTGAGGCTTATGTGGTAGAATGCCAGTCATAAGCAAGTAAGCTAAGAGGCAGTACAAGGTTCTGAGTTCAAGCCCCAACTGGCAAAAAACAAAAACAGCATAATTTGTAAGGAAAAGCCACATGGGGTGGTGCATACCTGTGTTACTAGTTAGCTACTTGGAAGGCTGAGGCAAAGATATTGAGTTCAAGAGTAACCCAGGTAACATAGGTAGACTCTACTTTAAAAAGTCATACAAAAAGAACTTCTGATATGATCTGGTGACACCCTTTCCTAATTTATGTTGAGCTGACAACAAGGAATATATGGCACTGTCTGGCACTGTCAATACACATGTCAACTAGTGAAAAGGCAAACAACAGCCCAGTTTTAACCTCACTGATCCCATAAAATAGACTTATGTACCTCAAACACTGCATGGGTTACACTGTGTGAACCACCACCGTATTATAACTTGGTAGCATTAAATTGTTTACTATGCATAAGTCTGTGTTTCTCGACTTTAGGGCCACCTTGTTATAGCTCATTATTAATGTCTAATGTAGACAAATATTAATGAAACAAAAAATAACCTTAAGTTTTATTCTTTGGATGCCATTTTTCCCATCTCGAGTATCAAAAGATTATTATCAAAGAACATAAGTAGCTCCTGCTATAATCTTGCCCTTTCGTCTCTAAAAGATACTTCAAACAATACAAGAAAAAAGTAGATACAATCCAGGAATCAAAAGCAAAAACTAGAAACACACACATACACACACACAAATAAATAAATAAAACATTGTATAGGTAAATGTGTTTTTGACTTGGTCTCCTTAATTCCCAAAATGAAGCGTCTTTAAGTCTACGATCTTACTGAACATGGAAGTCCACTCCTGAAACTGCAAGCAGAGACAGGGCATGAGGTTCTAGGCTGGGATACACAACAAGACTCAAAAACGAGTATGCATTCAAACTGTGCTAGAACTCTTGCTGTCAAGAATTCTTTTAAAACAGATCTATATGAATACAGCAGTAGATGTACCCATTTTAAACACTAATAGGACACAAGATGTACCCATTTTAAACACTAACATGACACAAGGAGTAAGAACAGATACTAGATTTTAGTGCAAACAATTGTAAAATCTAACACTACAGGGGCTGGGAAGGTGGCTCAGTGGTAGAGTGCTTGCCTTGCATGCATGAGGCCCTGGGTTCAATTCCTCAGCACCACATAAGCAGAAAAAGCCAGAAGTGGTACTATGGCTCAAGTAGTAGAGTGCTAGCCTAGAGCTGAAGAGCTGAGGGACAGCACCCAGGCCCAGGTTCAGGCCCATGACGGACGGACACACACACACACACACACACACACACACACACACAAATCTAACACTACATCAAGGTACTTTTACAGTCTGGACTTTGTAAGTGAAAACTACCTTAAAAGCATATAACTTGCCTGCTAAGTTGGTACAATTTGCATGTAACTGTTCATTTCAAGATGTGTACATACTATTGAATTACATTTTAGGAGCCAATGATGAAAAGCAACAAAACTAACTTCAAAAAAAGGATAAAATCATGGCAATCACTTGAGGATTATATTTGACTTAACAAATTAAACTCAAGTTCAAACCTCAAATTTAAAAAATACTCAATTATTTTTAAATTATACTCCCAAATAGTCATTTTAACTATATTAGAGCTGGAAAAAAATTAAAAGGTACAACATACAGCAGGAATGTTAAGAAAACGTAAAGCAGGAATGCCAAGACAAGGTACCTGCTAGCATTACTTGAAGAAGTGTACGCATGACTGGAGGTGGCTGCAGAACTGAAAACGCTGTCCAGTTCCGCCAGGGCTGCATACTTGTCTGAGGCTGTACTTGGCTGACCAGGAACGGAAACCACAGACCCAACAGGAGCTTTTCCTGTGGCTCCAAAGCCACTTCCTTGATCACCACCTGGGAACAAATACACATGTGAAACAAACCTAGTAATAGTATCAAAAAACTTGCTGTGTGCTCCATGATTACCTAAATGCCTCACATGGAATAAGGTGAATCCCTGAGTTCAGTTGCCATCATCATTCTCACTTTAGAAATTAAAAAAACAAGAAACCCACAAATGCAGAGAGAGGAGTACCTGATCCTTGCAGGTTACTACTGTATGAGGCACTTTTAGAACCAAATAAAAACAATGCTTGCTTGGCTTTAAGACCAAAACTGGAATAAAAGAAATTTAAATGATTAATTTTTAAGTGCCAAATGTAACAGAAAATGCATTAAAATTAAGATACCATCTAGTTATCTTTGTTAATAGAGATTTTTGGTCCTGCATGAACAGAATAATAAAGTATGCTTTCTAGGACAAAATGAAAATTTTCTCATTTATTTTTCTTCTGAAAGAAGTTGTTTATAAATTAATTTCTATGCCTTCAACTATACAACTGATTAGTTTCAGGTCAAAAAGTGCCAAGTGAAACATTTTATATAACCAAGAAAAGCCTAACATTCTCAGATTTTTAAGAGCACTGCTTAATACATAAATTTTGTTCTTTTTCGCCTTTGATACCTTGTCCAGCACTGAAGATATTGTCTAAATTAGCAAGTGCCGCATATTTGTCTGCTGTCTGTAAGCCAGCTTTGTTTGTTGAAACTTTACTAACAGCTGATGCTGTCTGATGACTCTGGGAAGTACTGAAGGTTCCAAAATCAGCACTGGAGGATTTGGGGAAGTTATCAAAATGAGCAAAATTAGCATTTACTGATCCAGCATTTCCACCTGTAACAAAATAAACAGAACACTTGAAAATTCTAGACTCCTTGCAATATCCTTTGGTATACAATTTGATCATTTCTACCTAAATTAAGTATCCTGTAAGCATTATAGGACATTCTTTGAATTGCATTTGTGTCTTATAGTCGTCATATGTAGTCTTACAATTTAATGCGTGGTAAATGGCACTCTAATTGGCTATATGTGAAACTAGATTTTTTAAAGCATTGCCAACATTTAACATCTATCTACCTGAAGTGAAAAAATCTAGCTCTTAGGGAAAGTAACCTCCACTCTATCTGGTTGAAATTCAGTTACTTCCAGTTATGTACTAAGATTCTACCAAGTTCTTCAACAGACTCTATGAACAACATGCAGCATGTATTCCTTAGATGATTCAAGCATTTGAAGCTTCATAGAGATATGATTTCTTTTTAATCTGAGGGGTAAGGATGAACAATGTTGAGGAGGTATTACTTTGATCAAGAATTTACTTAAAAGATGGTCCTTGACTTTTAGATACTACTTCACTTAAAGAGCCATTACTGAATTATTGTGTAGTAATTCATGTGCATTCAATATCATGGTCACAATAAAATAAAGTATGATTCACACAATGGTCACTATGGTACATATCCTACTAAATTTTTAAACTATGTCCTAAAGAAAGACTAAAGTTGTATATTTCATCCTATGTTTTAGATCCTATCCTTTTTATATTAGATTTCTATTCCTAAATTGTCCTTTAACTATAATATAAAGGTGATATCAATTTTTGAAACATAATGGATTTTTATGCCAAATTAAAAAAAAAAACACCCCTCAGGCTAGGAAGGTGCCTTGCATGCCTGAGGCCCTGGGTTCGATTCCTCAGCACCACATAAACAAAAAGAAAAAAAAAGTCGGAAATGGCGCTGTGGCTCAAGTGGTAGAGCGCTAGCCTTGAGCTGAAGAGCTGAGGGACAGCGCCCAGGCCCAGAGTTCAGGCCCCACGACCGGATCTAAAAAAAAACAAAAAAAAAACCCAAAGCAAAACAACAACAAAAACACTTTTCATCAATCAGTCTTATAGTCTTAGACATTCTAAAACAAATATGTATTATAAATCTTTTGTCAATAACTACTTCTGGTTGTTTCAAATAAAACTAAGCATGGTGTACATACTTATAATCCTAAAGATTTAAGAAACTAAAATGTGAAGATTCTCAGCTCAAGGTCAATCTGAGCAATATAAGACTCCCATCTCAAAAATAAAATTTAAAACATCTATTAAAACTAAGAAATATGCTTGTATTTAAAAGACAGTGGTCTATTATAAACTAATTGGCAAACAAAGCAAGCAGCAAAACATACATACTAAGCTTCCAAAATTTGTGTGAAAAATTTTATTCACATTAGTCAACCAATTAGCTTTTATTAAATACTGTTTGTGTTAACTCTGGGTTTGATAATAGAGAAAGGAGATGAAGATTTATGAAAGATTTATATGGAATTTATGAAAGATTATCATCAAAATTACTAACAATAATTGAAAAACTCATTTAGTATACATAAAATATACAAATTAATTAGATGCCTTCTTAACAACAGAACTTACTGTGGGTAGCCTGAAGAGGAAAAGCTGAAGTAAATTCACCAAAACTGCAGCTAGATGAAAGTATTCTAAATGCTGGACAGCCAGAAATTATGTAAATGATGAAAAATTTTAAAAAGAAAGAAAATTGAAAGAAAAGGCTTTAAGACAATACACACAGAGTTAAAAGTTGAAAGAAAAGCAATCAGCCAACAATCTAAATAAGGGCTTAGTGAGTTTCTGGAAACAGTACAATTTATGAAAAAGCATTCAATGTTTAAAGACCAATTCCTGCACAGAAAACTATTTTCATATTTGATTAACATTAATAATCTAGTGTTAACTAACATTTGGAATTCTTCTCAAGTGTATTGCTCTTTAAGTCATTTCTATTTTTAGTTCTATGAAAGCAGTCAATTGGCTTCTCTTATTCAGGCATAATGCCTGTCAAGTTCAATATGCTCTACAAATCTAAAAAAAGTTTTAGTACATTAATACCTCAGTGCATGGGAGATTTTAAAATGATTCTTGTGCAGGAAAAGAGAACAGACATTGCAAAATAGATAATATACCAAAGAGTTTAGAAAGACAAATGGACACAGGAAAAAAAAGATTTTAGGTTTCCCCAGAGCTTTGTATAATGCAAGTATTTCAAAGTCAGGTCATTATAGAATTTAATTTTTCAAGACTACAACTAGAGAGTTTTCTTGTTTTAAGTAACCATTTAAGTACAATGCTGGAGAAGAGCTCTACCTGTAGTTTGGGGTTGAAAAGAAGAGTGACTTGCTGTGGGGAAACCTCCATAGTTACTCGAACCACTAGACTGTCCAAATGCATCAAAGTTTGCAAAATCTGCATTTGCAGAATTCTGAGCTGTAAATGGTAAGGAACAACATATGTTAATGAATATGAAAACTACAAATAAAAATACATGACAAATGAAGAATCACGAAATCTTAAAATCTTATGAAAAGTGTTAAAAATCACTTTAAAGAGAATTCATTTAAAAAGTTAAGACTATTAATGCTACCAGCACTTAACTCCACTACTAATGTTTACTAAAGGATATTTAGAAATTTCCAAAAATACTTCTGTGGAATACATTTATTCACAATATCCTTTGAGTGGTTGCAGGTTTATCACCATAAAAGTGACTCTATTGGCAAAAGAAGAACAAATTTAGGAACACATGAGCTACAGTCAAGCAGACAAACATGTGAGACATAGTGTACAAAATTCAATGACTGAAAACCATGGTCTGCTACATGAGTCTAAAGAGTGCTCTAAATACCTAAAGTAATTATATAAAAATTGCTTGATCCCATGAATCAAATTTTCCTTTGAACTTCTTTAAAGTTTACAAATATGTCAAATGTAGGCATACAAAAATGAAGAAAATGAATGTAAAGGACACGATAGCCAAACAAACCAAAGGTTTACATTCTATTAGAAGCTTGCCATTTTGAATCCATATTAAAATTTTAAGAAACAACAAACAGTGGTATAAATTATATTCAGTTAAAGAGACCAAGATGTAGCCAGGCGCAGGTGGCTCACGCCTGTAATCCTAACAACTCAGGAGGCTGAGATCTGAGGATCACGGTTCAAAGCCAGCCCGGGCAGGAAAGTCCATGAAACTCTTATCTCCAACAAACCACCAGAAAGCCAGAAGTGGCGCTGTAGCTCAAGTGGTAGAGCGCTCGCCTTGAGCTGAAGAGCTGAGGGACAGTGTTCACACCCAGAGTTCAAGCCCCACAACTGACAAAAACAAAAAACAAAAGAGACCACAATGTGTTTTCTCAACTTCAGTCTAAAGAAAAAACAAAATGCCAGCCTTAATCTAAATTTCAAATATGTCAACAAATAAAATGATTCACAAGGCTTTTGCAAAGGCCAAAATAGATGCTGGGTGAGAATTTTGTAAGAGGACATGATATGAATTGGAAATGGCTGGTGTATAGGAAAAAAAATGCTTAGTGGCAAAAACAAAAAATGTGAAAAACACGGAGAGAGGCTAAATGTTACAAACAGTAAAAGACTGTCATTTTAAATCCACAGGAAGTATATAAAGGAATAACTTTGCAAATAAGTAAGGCTACATCTAAAAATCAAGACAGCGGATTTCTTAAAATAGCAAAAAATTTAGTAACTCAAATGATCACCAATAGAGATTGCTTAAATATATTACAGAATCATTTATATCATGCTGGAGAATAATGCAGCCATTAAAAACCACGTACAAAAATATTTATGTCAAGGAAACTAAGTTGCTAAATTTCACCTGCCAATTTTGTTCAATTAAACATATTACATGCAAAAGCAAATTTGCATTTTAGTTAACTCTAAGTAGTAGGATTTCAGATCTGTCATCATCATCTTCTATTTGCCTAAATTCACACAGCTTTTGCAATTAGTATGTGCTTTAGCTGCAAACAAAAAAAGTTTCTAAAAAATTCTCCCACCATTAAGCAACATATTAGACACTATTTTATGAAGAAATTAAAGAAAATACAAAGCATTTTATGTAGCTGCTATTGTAAATAAGAAAATGTCTCTAACTAAAGCACAAAAGTGACTCCATTAGCAAAGGAGAGCAATTCAGGGACTAACACATGAGTGTTTAGGATTGTCATTTCCTGTCTTGTTCTGTGACATATTGGCTGCTGAGTATGCATTACTGCTTATGAACATCACTAAAAAGTTTTCTAATTGGCCAACGCTGTGAATTCGAACAATAACAAATGCTGGCAGGTATGTGGGGAAAAAGGAATCCTATTGCACTGCTGGTGGAAATATAAACTAGTATAACCACTCTGGACAGCAGTCTGGTGGTTCTCCAAAAAACTAAACCTCAATCTTCACTAGAAAAATATTATGTCATTTGCAGGGAAATGGATGGGCCTAGAACATACCATGTGAAGTGCCCTAAGTCAAGCTCAGAGAGACAAAGGGCACATTTCTCTCATATGTGGAAGCTAGATCTAAAATATACTATGACACGATAAATTACGTAGGACTCTAGGCATTCACACACAGTGAGACTAAAAGATATTCCCAGGAGAGGAACACTATGTACCTGTGAATATTTAAAATAGTATTTATTAAAATGAATTCCAGAAAACAAGTTTTTCTTTTTTCCTACTGTTAGTGGTAGAGATGAATTGTTTTTTGCCTTTAGGTTTTGTTATTGTTTCTTTTTTTGTTTAATCTGTCTTTGGAGGGGGGAGAGAGGGGCACAGAAATTAAGGGACAAGGGTGAACCAATGTAGCACTTGACAGTTTGTTGAAAATGAACTATACAACTTGTGGGTGGAGGACAAGAGAGGGGAAACCGGGAAAACTAAGAGTGACATTACCCAAAAAGAAATGTACTCATTACTTGACTTATGAAACAACAATTCCTCTCTACATCACTTTAATAATAAGAATAAAAAAAATTAAGTAGTTTTCCTCTCTCAACTACATAGAAGTAATTAGAAGTTTTTTATTGCTGAGAAAAATTTTTTAACTTCAGCTAGGTCTAGTGGCTCATGTCTATAGTAACAGACATTGGAAAGGTAGAGGTCAGAAAGATCATGATTTTAGCCTACTCTGGACAAAAAGTTAGTGAGACACCCCACCATCTCAATAAATAAACATGTCACCCCAAATATGTGGGAGGCATAAGCAGTAAGATTATGGTCTACGCCTGCATGGACCAAAAAAAAAAAAATCAACAACCAACCAACCATGAGATCCTACCTGAAAACTATTTGAGCAAAAAGACGGGGACAGGGAGGGCCATGGCTCAAATAGTCACCTGCTGAGCAAGTGACTTCAACACCAGTATTAAAACGACAAAGACTTCTTTCTACATTAAAATAATATTGAAAAGAAAAGATCTGTATACTTTACAATCTTTTGTGATGACAAAAACTATAAGCTGAAATTTTACTTTTTATAAAATAATAAATATTAAAAGTGATTAATTAAAACTTAGTTTTTTGAAAAATAACTTGGGGGGTGTGCCAGTGGATCATATCTGTAATATAATACTAATACTAAGGAGACTGAGATCTGAGGATCACAGTACAGAGCCAGCCCTGGGACAAGAAAAGCCCAGGAGACTCTTATCTCCAATTAGTCACCGAAAAGTGGAGAGTGGAGTTGTAGTCAAGTGATAGAGCACTAGTCTTGGGCAAAAAGGCTCAGATAGCACCTAGACCTTGAGTTCAAGCCCTGGGATTGATATATACACACATTTAAAAAAATTACTTGGGAGAAATCATCTATATAAGATCAAGCAATAATAAATATAATACAAAAGAGTTCTATTTAGTACTGAGAACAAAAGTAAACAAGTGTAGTTTACTGAAAAGAGAATCTAGGTTAAGAATTTGAAAATCTCATTTTAATGTCATTTACTATAACCTTTCTATTGCTATGGCCCTTCCAGTTTGCTCAATACCAAAATAGGAGGATCTGGAGCCCTCTATTTGCAAATTTATCACTATAATTCTGTAACATCTTCGAGAAAAGAAATAAATTCCTTAAAGGCTTTGACTGAAAAGGCTAGGCTGAAAACAAAAGAAGTTCTACTACAATAAGTCCTAAGGGAAAACATGTAGCATGTAGATTATATAACCACAAAGGAATATGAAGAATGGAATAAGAAGTTCTCAAATTTAGTGTGTTATAATCCAAGTGGTAAATTGCTGTTCTCAAGCAACTTATTTGTATGTTTAAGAACAAATCATGCTGGGTGCCAGTGGCTCATGCCTATAATCCTAGCTACTAAGGAGGCTGAGATCTAAGGATTGCAGTTCAAAGCCAGCCTGGGCAGGAAGGACCATGAGACTCTTATCTCCAATAAACCACTCAAAAAATCGGAAGTGGTACTGTGGCTCAACTGGTAGAGTTCTAGCCTTGAGTTGAGGGACAGCGCCCAGGCCCAGAGTTCAAGCCCCACAACCGACAAAAGAAAAAAAAAAATCATGTCGAGGAAAATCTTTTTTTAGTCAAGTTCATTTTTATTTATATTTTCCCATTATTTTTCAACCAGAGTTCCAAACACTTTAGTCAAATGCCAATCTTTCCCAGTTCGTGCAGAGCTTGATAATATTTGTATCAGATTTTACTTTTGAATACTAAGTATTTGCTGTCTTCAATAACTGGTTTCATGTACTGAGAAATGTAACTGAAAAACAAAGCTTTGGAAATTAAACACTAAAAAAACTCAATTAATATAAAAATACTGCCTGGAGTGTCAAAGCAACCTGCCCCAAGAAACTACAGAGAATATGACAAAATAGAAGAGACATTTCTTAAATAATATTTTTTAAATATAAAAGAATCAACTGAGTTTTGAATTTAAGTTAGTGAGCTGATAGCTAGAATTCCTCTTCAATTACAAAAGATGCTCATGAGAGAACATTATTGAGATACAGATTAGAATCCCACAGCAAAATCATCTGACATGCACATTTTGTTTCATCTGAGTATTAAACATTTTTTCATGAATTGCAAATATTTAATGACAGTATTTCACATTAAGCAAAACAAAAAAAGATTTATTTTCATAAAGAAAAATCAACACAGCTAGTAATCCTAAAACCCTATTTTTATGTGGCAACAGGAGTTTAGAATATTCCCTTTAGAAAGGGCACCAGAGTTCCACAATGGCTATATTACTCATTGTATTACCTGGGGTATAAGGTAATTGAGTTTGTGATCTCTAATGTAAGGAGTGACCAAAAAAATCAATTATAATTTATAGTTCACTGGCTTTGTGATACAATAAGTGTAACATGTCTAGTAAATTCCTCAAGTGAATGTTATTTCTAACTTAATATATAATTCTGTAGATGACCTTTCCTGAACCTAATAATGGTTCTACCCACCAACACATAGGATAGATTTTAAGCCACTAACTTAGTTACAAAGGATAAGTTTTCTTACAAAACAATGCTAAACACATTGGTCTATTTTTATAAAGATCAAGAAGGAAGGAAATAGTTTCTTCCTATAAAAAGCGTATGTATTTTTTATTCTTCTAAGATCAAACTAAAAATCAAATAAAGCAAAACAATGGAAAAATATTTGCATAGTTATATCCATAAGAATTAGGCCAAAAAGACTGTTCAACTACTTAAAGATAATGAAAAATAAATAAATTATAAAAGAGAAGGGAAGGACTACTCTTAAGACAACCTAATCGAATCTCCATGGTTATTAAACTATTGCCATATACTTACCTACTTTAAAATCTACCTAAAAATCTACCCATCTGGTAAAAATAGGTTTCTTTCTCTTTGTAAATATTTTTCCTATTCTCTAACTACTGGCAATTTTTAAAAGCATAATATTAGTAAGTTATTCAAATATAAACACAATTGTGGTACAATTTACTCAATGAAGCTATAGTGATGTACGCAGTCACTGTCTGGCTAAAAGGATACAAGAAAAGATGCAACATAAACCGATGATCTGAAAATATTCACAAACTGCATATAAAGACAGAAACTTAAGAGACGTACAAGAGTTTAATAGTCATTTATCAATAATTTCAAGCTGTTTGAAAATAGAAAAATCAGCATATATTCATAAATTATGGAAGTTTTTCTCTCTCTCTCTCTCTCACCCCTCCCCCTTTTTGGTCCTTCAGAAGGCTTGAATTCAGGGCCTGGGTATTATCCTTGAGCTTTTTCTGCTCAAGGCTAATAATGCTCTACCACAATGAGCTACACCCTCACTACCCATTTTCTGTAGTTAACTGCAGGTTAGAGTCTCACAGACTTTCCCGATACTGGGCTGGGATGGAATCGCAATCTTCAGATCTCAGCTTCCTTAGGAGCTAGGATTACAGGTGTTGAGACCCTGCTCCAAGCTCTGTGATCTCTACACCCATTCAAATGCATGAAAAGAAAGCAGAGAGCTGAAACCATTGTCTGGCCAGGGCAAACTATTGGTCTAAAAATGAAGAAAAAATATACTAACAACTAAAGTTTCCTGATTACTTACCCATCTCGTATCATCTCACCTAGGATATCCACCATCCTAGGATCCTTTTTATAAGTAAATGCACACATCAAGCATCCAAAAAGTACAGTATATAATTTCTATCTGAAGCATTATCTTAGAAAAATGTCCTTATTGATTTTTAAAATAAAAGGCTCCTTTTATTCTACAAGAAAGCAATGTGGCAAAGAGCAGCAATTTCAAACTACCAATAACTCTCTGTGGGGCAAGTACATATATATGAGACATGGTTTATATTATTATTCAACAAAATAAGTCATCAAATTAAAAGAAAAGAAAGGCAATACTATAACAATCTCATAGGCAAGCTAAAAATAACGTAAGTTCTAAAGCACAAATAATCGATTCTATCAGCAGGCCCCTAAAATACACCTTTTAGAAAGATATGGTCTTGCTTATAGTAAAATTTTGGAAATCAGGTTTAATAAAACCATACATACACATGTGACAATAATACAAAGAAAAATGTGAAATTACTAAACAAATCTAAAAAAATGATTATGTCAATTTTTAAGTTAGTGTTCTACATTTTGATGCTTCTTCATTCACAATTGAGATGGGGATACTTTCTCTGATGTACACATCAAGACTTCACATTAATTTTCAATGTATTCTGTTTCTAGTATGTTTCCAGTATAAATAAAAAACAATAAACTCAGAATCAACATCACTTTTCATAATGGACACCCAAGTATTGACCATGATGATCAGTTAACAGTATTAAAAAAAAAAAGAGAACTCAAAATTATACCCCTAGGCAATAAGACCCCTGAACACCTTTCCCCCCAAGATAAAGAGCTTGCAACTCCCTTAGCACCCCGGCCTCCGGCTTCCTCACCATATACGTGGATCTGTAACTAGTCAAGTCTCTAGATCCAACTATAATTATAATTGCACAGTGATACAATCCACCAAATTCAGATTACTGCAAAATCTAAATAACCTACTTTCTTTAACAAATCAGAGAGAGAAAAAATGGAGACTCACAGAAAACTAAACTGTACCTCTCAACTGCAAAGTCTGCATCTTATCTGAAATTTAATCCCAGCAAACTATACTGGTGTTGATATATGTGTGTACCTGTATGTATGTGTAGATACATACACTTCGCTCATGTTCATACACATAAATTTCGATTGGCAGAAATTTGAATAATGGAAGATGAATCATTGCTATTTAGAGCATGGAAATACTACTGTAAAATTTAACAGAGAAAAGTCCCCTTATACAAATATATCTCAAAAATTACTTCAAAATAATGAATGGAATGATAAATGAAAGAAACAAGGTTAACTTATCCATTTCGTTTTGAGTATATGTGTGGAATAATTTACATAATAAAGGAATAATGTTACATACACACACGTGTGCATTTTAATATCTTCATTTTTCCATAGAAAAGATCATAATTGCTATTACACATAATCTCTTAAGTAAAAAGTACCAATTACATGCTTAGCTTCACCATTTAACAGTGACCAAACACCCTGAATAAAACAGGTGCACAGAGACTTAAATTTAATAAAGAATGGATGTTTCTTGAAGCTTTACATACATCCTGGGCAAAGCAACTAGGAAAAGACACATACCTGCATGGCTGTTGAAATGTGCAAAATTAGCAAAATTGGCTGTAGCTGTTGATTGAGGAGCTGGAGCAGCAAAGATATCTGAGCCAAGATCACTCAAAAGGTCAAACTGCTTCCTTTCCTGCTGCTGCCCTTGAGAACAACCTACAACTGGGGACTATAAACCACATTATTAACCATAAAGACACTTCTGCTGAGTGTTTCTGTAAATCCATTTTCAATTCATAAAGCTTAATATGAATTTATACATAGGAAGAATTAAGTATTTTGACTTATGCCTTCCTTCATTTCCCCCCACGTAGTCCTTTTGGGAAAACAGTATTTATCCAAAAGCTTTATAATGTATTATAAAAGGGGAAGAATTTAATCCACATGAGTATGTTTCAGAGTTCTTGTGTAGGACAGAGGTGGCATCACCACATAGTTAACAGATCTGTCAGTCTTATCAACTACAATATAGAACTGTGTACTTTAGGTATCAACTTAATCAGGTTTCTTCTGTTCAGACTTCTTAGACCCAGATATAGTGCAAAGACAAATGCATTTTAATGATAAGCATGCTCCTTAATCACACATGTGGGAAAATCCTTTTTTTTTATTTTAATTTTTATTTTATGTGAACATACTATACAGAGGGGTTACAATTACATGGGCAAGATAATAAATCCTACTACTTCTACAGAATGAGAACATCCATCACAGAGGCTCACTACAGATCCATCTTTTCCTAAGTAGATAATATATGATGAAGAGCTTTAGCAACATTTCTTGTACATCTTTTCAAATTGCAGAGAAGGCAAAATGATCTTACATACACAAATAGAAATATGCATACCCATTCCTACTATTTTCCCAACAATCATTGAATTTTTTTTAAAGAAAACTATTAGGATACAATGCTACTGATATTCAAGGCTATGTTGCTGTGAACCTTCAAATTCTTGATATTCAATCTTACGTAGAAGTCCCTACAAAGATTTAAAGACTGCTCTCACCTGACTAGGCGTGCCCTTATTCAAGTGCAGTGCTGGTGCAGAATCTCCTAAAAGAGATTTGAGTGGTTTGACCTCAGGTGTGCTGCTTGTGCTACTGGCAGAGGACCCTGAAATAGATGCATGAACTGATGCCACCACTTTGGCTTGCTCTGGTGGAACATACCTAAAACATGCAAAAATGAGAACAGGCCATTAATTTAAAGAAAAATCAAGGAATTTTATACAAAAACCATTAAGTGAAATTCTAATTGTATAAAACTGCAGCACATTGATCTTACTCTTGCTTTTTTCCAATAAAATAACTGCTTTGCTGACAAGATCTACAGCTAATCATCTTGATGAATACTTAATACTATATTCTTACTTTCAGAAATGAAAATACCTTCAAGATTAGAAATATGTGGAGACAGTGAAAAAGATAACACAATATAGTTAACAGCCTAAAATGTAAAGACTTATTCTAAATCACTAAAAATATCAGTAATTTCATTTTAAAATGGACAAAGAAATTTATAAGACATAGATATTAAAACTTATAGCCAAATAAAATGCAAATTAAGGGATTACACATTTTTAAATTAGTGAGTTTTACCAAGTTTCAGTTTCTATGTACTGAATGATATAAATAGAAATGAAACATCTATCAAGAGGAAAATATGCAATGGGACTATGTTAAAAGCTGCATAATACTACATAGCCAACATCCTTCTCTGACATGTAAAGATGCTCATAAGATGTCACGGGTCTTTCAGGTTTGACAGTCACACAAACACACGATCATGGGAAGAGGGGAGGCAAAGGAAGAGCAAGCAGTAAGAATTCAATAATGCCAACATGTCAACAAAGTGAATTTGCAGGAGTGGGATTATTTGATAGCTTTTGTCCTTTGTAATGCTGGTTGTATTTCTACCCTTCTCTCCTTTGTATCAAACTGTAGGGGAACAGGCAAATAATGTGGTTAAGAGCAACTATTTCCAATTACAGAGCTCAAATCCAAGCTCCACTGCTCAATGCAGTGAAACTTTATGCAAATCACTGTACTCTGCTTCCATCTTTTCATCTGTAAAACAGACAGCTGCTGTGGAGTTTAATTAATTTAACATTTGTAGAGCACTTAGGATAGTTCCCAGTACATTAACTATGTGGACTGTTGGCTACTATCAAACCATACATGAAAAACAAGCAATATACCTGGCTCCTCACCACCAGTAAATGCAAGTGATAACAAATGGTGTAAGAGTAAAACAAAAAGTGATGCTTGCTTCCCTTAGTATGGCATTACAGTGATGACACAAAGTCAAAGTAGAGTCAAGTATGGTAACAGTTTGTAACTCAATAATAGATTGCAGTTTCAAAATACTTTCCCACTTAATGTGAAGAAGCTAATCTTGTATAAGAACTGATTATGAGAAGCGGTCAAAAGAACAATTCAAATATCTCTGGATAACACTGGGTATTGTGTGTTTTCTCAAGTTCTTAAAAACTATTTCATTTTCTCCAACTGCGTGTTACAGGTGTGCAGGAACAGGGGTCAAATAGATTCTGACCCTAAGGAATTGTAGTTACCTCTCTTCCCTGACTACTTATGTTTCTAATTGTACTACTCATGTTATTACCACCTGCTTCTTAGTAGAAAACAATTAACACAAATTCTCATTATTGGAGCTTTTCACTTATTTGCATTGTAGTTTGAGTAATTTATCATTACTGTGGTTTTAATTCTAACATAATTCACATTTTCCTTACTTTTTTTATTCATTTCTCATAGCTAGAGCCAATCTACCTAAAATTTCAGTAAGTTGTACCAAACTGACTTTCTAAGTTGGTACAAGTAACACTAAGAAACCCAAACATTTTCTTAGGGCTATTAAAAAAAAAATTATCTACAGTTTGGAAGGTACAGTAAATTAACACCTAAGATGATAAAGAATGAATAACTTTCATCTTTAAAGAATCATCCATGCCACTCTAATTTTACTATTATCCTACCATCTAATAGTTTTTCCTTGAACTAAAATTATACTGTTATATTTATGTACCTATATATAATATACAAACTATATTCATGCCCAATATATCTACGGCCAGTAGATATAGTTAATTAACTGAGTCTTGAAAAAAGCAGATTATTTTAAACAATAAGAATATAAACTCAGCTAACACTAACCATTTAGTATTTAGAAGCTGATTTAAAAAAAAAAAAGAATACAAACTCCTTCAGAACATACAAGTCGGAGATAAATGAAAGTAAAGATTTCTCGCCAAGTGCTCTCTCAAGACCAAACTAGCTGTGAATATAACATCCCTTGGGTTAAAAGACCGACCATTCTTCACAGAAAACACGAAGTCCCCATCATCTATCCCCTTATCCTTGACTCTTCCTATTTTCTTAACCTCCTGAAAGGAAATGCACTGTTCAAATCAGTTAAAGAAATAACCAAGAGGTCTTAGTTAATAAATCTTAGTTTTGTCCTTAAGAGTTTTATCATAAAGCTAAAAATGAGGAGTCCTGAGTAGCTCAACACTAGTTCTAGGGATATAATCCTAGATTATCTCTATTTTTTAAGTTTAATTTTTGGGGGGACAGTAATGTATTGAGAGCTCTCACGCCCAGTCCTCGTAGTCTCTAGGTCACCTTTACTGCGTGCTAATCTTGTTGGCTGGCTGCAAGACGCCGGGCAGCAGGAGTGGGCATACTGTTGGATGATGCTCAGAGCAGCTGTAACTGTCTTCCTTATCAAAGAACACAGCTAGCAGCACAGCTTCTCCTAAAGTGCCTTCACTTGGGAACCTTCTTGGCATCCTTCTGCCCACAATTTTCCTGCAAAGCCTGATGGTATTCTAGAGGGGCCTTGCAGATACTGCAGCACCAGCCAGAGGCACCTGCTGTCTTGCATGTCAGTGTCAACCTTTCCAGTCACAGTGGGGTTCTCATAAACGTCAAGGTAACCATCCTGCACCTGAAAGAACGCTCTCAGCTCCAGCAGGATCTTCTTGGCATTAGTGTGCTCCTTCTCTGTGTCAATGCCTGCCATGTACATGGCAAATGCAAAGACAGTTAAAAGCAGAAAGTTTTCTTGTACTTGATAATAGATTTATACCATTTTCCAGTGCATCTGTCAAGATCCACATGGATCTGGGGAGCTATGATGAGGTCCAGAATCTGCCAATCTCGGTAGGAACTCTGAAGGAAGAGCTAGATCAGGTTCAGGTAGTAGGGCCGCTCCCAGCAGTAGAACTTGAGCGGGTAGTAGACACATGCTTCAAGAAGCATCCAAATTATGCATGGCTTCTTATACCTGCAGATCTGCTCCTGGCAGGTAAGGAAGAGTCTATGATGTGATGTGACACCAGGAAGAAAACTTGCAGCAGTTCCACACACCAGCCCACAGTCAGGGCCTGCTGGAGCTGTCAGCATCCTAATTTCTTGCAACCACCAACTCCCGGCACTGACAAACCTCAGGTGAACTTGCCTCCAATGGCACTGTACTCTAGGACTTCCTTAAGCTGGACAATGGTATCTCCTGAGTCTGAGTGCCTTATCTCACCCTCAAGTCAGCTCCTTGAAATCTGGGAGAAGGGTTGGATGAAATCCTGCTTTTTCTCGGCATAAACATTCAGTTTCTGGTCTCCATTCATTCTGAGAGAGAAGCAAAATGCTGTTTTGCAATGCAGGCTCTTACTGGTCTAATCCTTGTTCTGATTTAAAGGATATACCACCTTAGTGTACAATCTATTAGATTTTCTTTGGGAGACTAAGGAATAACTAGAAATGGAATACAGGGCTTTGTGCATGCTAAGCAAGTATTCTATCACATAGCTTCATCGCCAGGGATGATGATAATGATTATTTTTTTATTATGAGACAGGGTTTGACTAAACCGAAGCTGGCTTCAAACTTTCAAGCCTCCTGAGCAGCTGGGATTACAGGCATGTACCACTTGAAGAATTTAGTTAGGCAAATATAAATTCTCCCTTCTCAGCCAGGTTGTTAACTGATTTCTTGGGTGGGAAGTCAGGGATATTTTGACAAAGAACTTACTAAAAGCTGCAATCCAGTGGATGTATCATATCCTGCTGCCCAGAACACAGAAGATATTATTCAATAAATGAGTTGCTAAAGGAATAAAGGTTTTGAGAAAGGAGGCTTTATAGGGCTAACAATGTTTATAGAAACTAACAGGAAGGCTTAGAGAAAGGATCTTGTTTAAAGAGAAAACAAAACAAAATAAAACGTAAAAGTCCTGGTATAATGAAAGGCTACTAGTAGGTATAAATAAGATAAAATGCAAGTAAGGTTTTTAGAAACCCAATCTAATAAAAGGACAACCTATTTACTTTTTTTTTTTCCTTTCTGCCTGTCTCCTTTCCTTCATCATGTCAGATTATTTTACCCACAGTTACTGTAATTTGGGGAGAGTCAACTCTTCTACACACAAACTATTCACTCACCATCTTTTCTTTTCATATTTTTCTTGTAGAAACTCTTTCACTTTTTGTGGATCCCTGAAGTCTGGAATTGCTGAAGATCTATCATCAAATAATCCTAGCCAAATCTGTTTACAGACCTTGGAAAGAATTTTAAAAGAACAAGTGTTAAGTTCAGCATTTTGATGAAATTTAAGGAAATTTTTATTCTTTCAGAAAGCTAACCTACCTACTAATTTTAATAATGCTGCTTTCAATGAGGAATTATCAGATATTCAGGAACTAAATTTATTATATTGAAGTATGGAGTATAGTTTACACAATAGAATCAGAAAGAGCACTTCTTAGGGAAATGAACAGTGAACCAAAGTTTGAAAGGATCGTAAGTCTTTTTGGTCCTCCCCCAATTATGAACTATAAAATATTAGCATAGTTATATAACCTATATAACTTCAGCTCCCTTATCCCTAAACCACAACCTTAATCAACTGCAATTTTAAGGGTCCTTAAACTAAACATCAACCAAAACAAATATTAGAATCAGAAATAATTTGCTATTAAAACACTAGTAACTTAATGCAGAACAACCCTACTCTATAATTTTCAGCATATGCTTTTTTGTACAATGGCTACAAAGAACTGAAGATATTTAATTCCTGAAGAATCAAATAGAAAAATAAAATGATAAAGAAGTCTCATTAAAAACAAACAGGTATCAACTAATAAAACTATGGGCAAAATGTGTAAGAACTTGAAAAAATACATGAATCTAAAACATGAGAATTCCTACAACTCAACTGCTGAAGTCAGACAATTCAATAAAGAGGAGGAAAAGAGATATGAGTAGTAAGTAAATACTTACCCAGGTAATCTATATAGAGTTCAATTTCATAAATAATGTAGGAAATATGAACTGAGGTGAGATTGAGACCCCATGACATAGATAACTCCAGGTGTATGTACCCCTTAGAACATACCTGTACAAAAGCTCAAAAAGCAACTACACCATTTTCCAGAATAAGAGGAAAATGGTCCAACTCAGGAAATGAGTTTGGCAGTTTAAGATAAACATTTAGCACATGACCCAATGTTTATATCTAGATATTTAAGAAAAAAATTGAAAGCACATGACCACACTCAGACATGTACATAAATACTCACATATTTACTGATAACATCCCAAACTGAAATAACCCAAGCCGAAGTATATAAGTAAGTAAATAAACAAATTGTAGAACAACCAAAGAAGGGCACTATTCAGCAATTAAAAAGAATATAATATTGATATGAGAAACATGAATAAGCTTCAGGATAATTATACTGAGAGAAATCAGAAACCCTCTCCTTCTATCACCCGTGGGCAGCTGGGATTACAGGTATGCACCACCTAATGAATTTAGTTAGGTGAGTATAGATTCTCCCTTCTGAGCCAGATTGTTAACTGATTTCTTGGGTGGAAAGTAAGGGATATTTTGAGGAAAAATTTACAACAAGATGAAATTAAGTGGATGGATTACTACACCAGAGCAATATCCTGATGTCTAGCATACAGAAGATATTATTCAATAAACAGCTGCTAAAGGAATAAAGGTTTTGAGAAACTAGGCTTTATAGGACTAACAATCTATCACTTAAAATTTTAGAAAATATTAATTTACTTTGAAGCAAGAATATCAGATCAGTGAATTCATTACACAGAAACACAAGAACTTCTTGGAGATAATGAAAATGTAAATTATCACATTTAATGCAATGGTGGTTTTAAAGTATACATCTGTCAAAATCATATCAAATCATATGCTTTAAATATGAGCAAGTTCCTGTGAGTTTGGGGCATAGTGAGTGACACTAATAATCCCTCCTCTGCTGGGAGGCAGGCACTGCGGTTTGAGACTATGCCCAGCAAAAAGTTAGACCTTACCTCAGCTAACAAAGCTGAGAGTGGAGGTATATTATTTTAACTATTCAAAATTTCAATCCTGGCGCACCCTAGCAAAACCCAACACTCTACTTTGTGTCTTAAATGATAATAGTGCCTGCCTAGCAAGCATAAAACCTTGCATTCAAACTCGTGTTAGCACCCCTAAAAAAAGTCACAAGTGGCTAGGAATGTGGCATAGTGGTAGAGTGCTTGCCTAGAATGCATGAAGCCCTGGACTTGATTCCTCAGTACCACATACACAGAAAAAGCTGAAAATGGGCTATGGCTCAAGTGGTAGAGCACTAGCCTTGAGCAAAAGAAGCTCAGGGACAGTGCCCAGGCCCTGCATTCAAGCCACAGGACTGGTAAAAACAAAACAAAAAAAAAGTTACTATAATTACTTCTCAATAAAGCTCTAAAAGTCTACAAGGTTTCACAATTTACTTTTTTTAAAAGTACGTAGACCATGGGCTGGGAAGGTGGCTCAGTGGTAGAGTGCTTGCCTTGCATGCATGAGGTCTTGGGTTCGATTCCTCAGTACCACCTAAACAGAAAAAGCTGGAAGTGGTGCTGTGGCTGAAGTGGTAGAGCACTCGCCTTGAGTTGAAGAGCTGAGAGACAGTGCCCAGGCCCAGAGTTCAATATCCACGACCAACAAAAAAATAAAAAATAAAATATGTAAACCAGATGCTGGTAGCTTTTACCTGTCATCTTAGCTACTCAGAAGGCTGAGATCTGAAGATCGTATTTCAAAGCTAGCTGGCAGGAAAGTCCATGAAACTCTTATTTTCAATTAACCACCAAAATTTCTGTAAGTGGAGCTTTGGCTCAAAGGCAGAATGCTAACCCTGAGCAAAAAAGTTCAGGGACAGCACTCAAGCCCTGAATTCAAGCCCAAGGACAGGCATAAATAAATAAATAAATAACCAATATGACAGCATGAAAAGCATGTAGTATCTGGTTTCAAAATGCTGATTAAAAAAAAAACTGTGAAACTAGAGAAACAAAAGTATCCTTTCTCAATGTCTCTATTCACTTAACTGTAAGGAAGAAAGAAAGATGGGGAAAAAAGAATTCCACCCTCTTCCCACCACATCCTCAAGTATGTTTCAGAATGCTTTCTTTGACTCCTCTTACTTTGCTCAGAATAGATAATAAGAAGTTGCTTAATACGTGTTAACTCATATTGACACATGTTAAGTCTGGGCTAAGGTATAACACCACCATACAAAAACATTTCAGCAGTAAAGCCTGAAAGTGACAGGATAATATAACTTACTGGGGAAATACTACAAATTTGTAGTGTTAACTTTGCAGTATTAATTTGTAGCATTAATTTAAAGAGGTCCATCCTGCCCAACGATTTTTTGGCCATTTAAAAAGTATCAACAAGCTGGGCACCGGTGGCTCCCACCTGTAATACTAGCTACTCAGAAGGCTAACATTTGAGGATCACGGTTCAAAGCCAGCCCAGGCAGGAAAGTCTGTGAGTCTCTCCAATAAACCACTAGAAAACCAGAAGTGGTGCTGTGGCTCAAGTGGTAGACTGCTCACTTTGAGCTTAAGAGCTCAGGGGCAATGCCCCAAGCCCAGAGTTCAAGCCCTATGACTGACCCCCCAAAAAAGAATGAGATAGGGTTTGGAGGCCTGGCTGGAGGGGAGAGGGTGAAACTAAGCAGAGTCTGGCTGAGGGAAGCACAAGGTCCTGGGTTCAATCCCCAGTACAATTCCAGCACTTAGGCTGAGACAGGAAAAGGGTTCCAAGTTTGAAATTAGGACATGAGAGGGGCTGGGACAGTGGCTCAGTGATAGAGTGTCTGCCTTACATGCATGAGGCCCTGGGTTTGATTCCTCAGGACCACATAAACAGAAAAAGCTGGAAGTGGCACTGTGGCTCATGAGACTGGCTTTTATATGTAGCAAGTGTGTCTGTGGGAGGTGGGGGAGGGGGAGAGGGGAAGACAAAAAGTCGTCTCTCCTTCTGTAGATACTGAATTAATGATTCTTCCAAAATCTCCCCAAACGAAAATAACAGAGTTGTCCTCATTTGCTCCATGAGAAATACTCTGTAATTAATCAGATCAGATCAGGACCCTAAGCTTTTAATTCTTCTTTCTTAAAATTTCCTGAAACAAGAGACACTAACAGCCATCTTCCTATTCTACCAAACTATCAAGCAGTAATAATCTACTTCAGAACACTTTTTAATATCATTTTTGTATCCCCAAATTCCTAGTTTCATAAATATTTAAGCTAAAAATAATGATGAGCAATAACAAGCATACAAATAAATAAAATGAAAGATGGCGCTTGAAGGCAGATCATAAAGTTGCCACCATATTGATAGGCTGATAATGGCTCCTGATGGCATGTTTTACAGATATTTGAGATTAGCCATCTGTAGGATTCATTTTAAATTCTACACCTAATCACTTTTTTTGTTGTTGTTGGTCATGGGGCTTGAACTCTGGGCTTGGGCGCTGTCCCTCAGCTCTTCAGCTCAAGGCAAGCACTCTACCACTTGAGCCTCAGCACCACTTCTGGTTTTCTAGTGGTTTATTGGAGATAAGAGTCTCATGGATATTTCTGCCTGGGCTGGCTCAGATTTCAGCCTCCTGAGTAGCTAGGATTATAGACATGAGCCACTGGCGCCTGGCGTACACCTAATCACTTCTTTTTCTTGGTCAGTATCAGGGTTTGAACTTGAGGACCTCATGCTCCTTTGTTGGGCTTGCTTACTCATGGCTGGTGCTCTGCAGACACATTGCTACCTCCAGCCCAGGCAGTTAATAGAAAAAGAGTCTCTTTCAGACATTTTTACCCAGGCTGGATTCAAACGTCTATCCCCCAGGTCCCAGCCTCCTGAGTAGTTAGGATTAGAAGCATGAACTGCTGGTGCCAGTATCTACTCTTACTCTTAACAGAAAAAGTCACTAACTACTTGAGTCAACTGCAAACTCAGGTGACCTGATATTAAACTTCCCCAGTGTTACTAGTCAGCTTTTATTCCTTACTATGTTATCCCACAAAAGCTATTTTTATACCTACATCACTTAAATCCTTACCATTCTGATATTCTTGGTAGTTCAACAGTAACTCAGGTGAAGTGGTTGCCAAAATGTGATGCTACAATTCCCTGGAGACAGAAGCATCAATCACCTAAACCCTTATTCAAACTATGACTTTAAGGAACCACCTATTATTAGTCCCTTTAGATGA